TCTGTAACTTCTGGTGGGCAGACATACATGCAGACAAAACACTGACACTCATAAAGAATTAAAAAAAAAAAAGCTAGGGGAAGCCAACTGGAGATGTGGCTCAGTGGTTGAGCACTTACTTGCCTAGTGTCCCCAAGGTCCTGGGCTCAGCCGTCAGCACTGCCAAAACAAAACAAGGCCCCAAGTCCTAGTGTTTTTCTCTAGGGGCTATTCCTTTTTTTTTTGGAGGCTGTCCTGGCCTGGCCTGGAACTCACAGAGATCCGCCTGCCTCTGCCTCCCGAGTGCTGGGATTAAAGGAGTGCACCACCACAGCCTGGCCCTGTAGGGTCTATTCTGAGGGTCACTGTAGTGGCATCCTGCCTTGCCAGTGAACTTGTGGTGGTGGCCACACCCTTTGGGCGTGGCTTCGGGCTCAGATGTGACCCCTTATAAGGTAGAGGAGGGGCTGGCTCACTCTCTGGGGTTGTGTTGAGAGCACTGGAAGGGCAGAGACTGCATCTTCTGGAGCAGGAGGAGTGCAGCCGGTATTTACTCTTATCTGGCTCTGGTGGACTCCTTTAAGCTCCGCCTTCAGGTCACAGAGTGAAACTGACCTTTGGATACTGAGTTTTGATCTTATTCTGACCCAACACCTCCAGCTCTTATAAATACCTGGTTCGCAGCTCAGCATGTCCTTGGGGCTTTTGACAATACTCTGATTTGGTGGGGTTGGCTACCTATTTCATCTTCCCTCCTCTGGCTCTCCAGTTTGTGCTGCCTGGCAACTATTTAAACAACAGAGAAAGAAAATGGCAAAACTTCTGCACGTTAATCTCTAGTCCAGCACCTTTCCTTTCTTGTTATTTGTTTGAGACAAGGTCACAAATGGTCATCTAAACCAGGCTGGCCTCCAACTTCTTTTATTTTCTTATGTCATACTATATAGACCAGGCTAACCTTGAACTCATAGAGATCTCCCTGCTTCCAATGCTGGGATCAAAGTAGCGGCTTTGGCCTTAAATAATTCTCTCTCTCTCTCTCTCTCTCTCTCTCTCTCTCTCTCTCTCTCTCTCTCTCTCTCTCTCTCTCTCTCTATCTCTCTCTCTCTCTCTCTCTCTCCCTTTTCTTTTCTTTTTGTAGGGTAGGCTGACCTCATATCCCCGCCCTCCCTGCAAGGCAGGGACGTAAGAGGCTCACCACCCTCCCATCTAACCCTTTGTGGCTCCCCCAACTCCTGCCCTCACCTCACCTGACAGGCCAGCCCTCTGGAGAAAGTTCACCTCCACTTTTGCATTTTTGGATCCTCCAGGTCCTCAGGGATGCCAGACCTCATAAGAGCCCTCTAAGAGGGCTACAGCCCCTTCCTGTAACCCCACGCCAGGCTATCTTTAACCCCTTCAGAGAGACCCAGTTCCCTCGTCAGCTAGTCCTCCTGAGAGCTGTGCCCCGTTCTCCAGCATGGCTTCCCAAGCAGAGGAGGCCTCTCTCTTTCCTGATCCCAGGCTCTGGCACAGTTGCTGCCTAGGGAGGCATTCGCAGAAGCTTTCCAGGGCTTTCTCGGCATGAATATTTGATGTTTCTGCAGTGAGTGAGACTGTTTAATGAGAACGGAGCCAGCTCTGCCACCCCGCTGTACACTGACAAGGAGCTGGGAGGTTGGGGGGGGGTGGCAGAGGAACCCTGTCCTCCCTCCAACCAACACAGAAATGTGCCCCTCCCCTAAGAAGCCGTGCAAGTGGGTGTCTGTCACCAGGCTAGTGGTACTCCTGATTGCTGGCATGCCTTTGGGCTACTCCAAATTCTGCTTTGTCACTGGAGTCCCCAAATCTACTTCTGCCCCAGTCCCTGTGCCTGATGTCCTCTTGCTGGTCTCTGCTTAGAGAAGGGAAATTAAAAACCAGGGCTGAAGAAACTGTCTAAAGCCACTGACTGTCAGGTGGAAACACTCATTTAGGATCCTGACCCCTACTGGGGGCCGTGTCCACTCTGCTGACCTCAACCAAAAAGTTTTACCTGTACTACCCCAACATCCCAAGCTAAGACTGTGAACGATTAAAATTTCATTAAATTCCCTGTATATGAGATCCTGTTTGGGCCAGTTTACAGGAGTTTTATAATGTATTTTGTAATGCAACAGGCCTGTGAAGTCTATTCATTATTTTACAGATGAGAGATCCGAGGCTCAGAGAGGTTAGGTCATCTGCCTAGAGTCATGTAGAAAGTTACAGGGCTGAGTGTCAAGCCCAGGCTGTGTCAACAGGCATGACGTTGTACACTTGTCATCCCAGCCCTTGAGGAGCAGAGGCAGGAGGATCAGGAATTCGAGATTATCATTATCTGTGTACTATATGAGTTCAAGGCCAGTAACGCTGTATAAGAGCTCTTTTCTACACTAAACCAACAAACAAGCCTAGGCCACTCGCCTCCAAAGTCAGTATTTGGACTTTTACACTGTACTGTTACTCAAAATGACAAGCTATGCAAGTTCATGTTCCTAGAGTTTATAGAGGACAGTTTACTACAGTTGTATGGAGAGGAAAACGCTGATGGATGTCATTTCCCAGGCTTAGACAGGGTGAGTGAGCCAGCGACGGTTAGGCCCAGGGCCAGCTGGGTCCACTGGAAGGCGTTTCCTGCTGGGTGTGGGCATTCCCACAGACAATCACAAATGATGACCGTGAATCGTGTGGCTTGGATTGAGGGTGTGGGTTGGATCCAATAACAAAACAGGAGTTGAGGAGTTGGAGGCCCTCAAATGCAATTTTGGCACCTTCACTGCACCATGAAAAGGCGAGGAAGAAACAGGAAGTACTCAGAGGAAACAGGAAGTGAGTGAGATAGAGGCCTAAGTGCCATGCCAGAGCTAAGCCTCCTCTGTCCTCTCCTGCCACTGAGTTTCCAGCTTGAATAACACCAGGGGCATCATTCAGGCCCCGTCAAGCTGTGCCTTGCCTTGGTATATTTGCTTAAGTTGTTCCCACAGCCTGGAGAGCCTCCTCACTCCCAAATCTTTTCAGTGGGCAGCCTCCCATCCATTCCCAGAATGCTGTTTGGGGGACCCTCCTGGGAGGGGACATAAAAACTGTCATTAAGCCCCAGTCTAATGATCAGACTAGCTCTCTGAATGAACAGGAATGGCCTACCTGGCACTTAGGCCACCTGTGGGAGTGAAAAACCTCAATACAACCCACCCCCCTTTTTGAGACTTAGAAAACTGGCAGGCTGTAGAGATAAGTTTAATCTTGACCTTGTGGTTTCTCCAGGAAGGATGATTTATGCCCGAGTTCTTACAATACCCCTATTGCTTTGCTTGCCAAAATTATGTACATAAAAAGAAAACTGTCCTAAAGCCCAGCGCGCTCAGTTAGCTAAGGCTGCTGAATTGCTCACAGACATCTGTGTGAACAATGAACCTCTTGCGGTTTGCATCCAACTGTCTGGTTATTGAGCTCGGGATGTCACCAGGGTATTCAGCCTGAAGCCTGATAACCTCAGGTCTTTCAGGAGGGACTACCTTTCCCTTGGGGCAGACTTTGATACATGTCTTCCAAGGGCGCATGTATGTGTGTGGTGATATCTTTCTTGCACAAATAAAGCCTTTTTGGGAGTCAAAGAATGGAGCTTGCCACTAGCTAACCATATAGGTCTGGAGGTCTGTACAGACAGACAGGATATAAGCAGGGACAGACAGGAAATCGCTCTCTTCTTTGCAGAGACGCTTTGGAGGTAAGGTGTGCTGTGGCTTGCTCCTTCCCTCTCTATCTGCCTCCGGCCTTTTATTATCTAGACCAAGTAAGAACATCATTGTTACATATGTGTCAAAGACAAGAGGTGGGACCTCCAGCAGGGGGATCCAGGAGAGGTACACAGGTCATTGAGGGAAGGCCCTAGCAAGGACTATGGGATCCCAACCCCTTCTCCCTTTTTAGTGCTGTAAGGGAGCTTTGCTTAGATCTCATGTTCCCACCATAATGTGTGGCTTCAGCACAGGTCCCCAAATGGCTCAATCAACTGTGGACTGGAACCTCCAAAACTATGAGTCAAATGAACCTTACACGTTAATTCTCTCAGGTATGTTGCTATAGTAACAGGTAGCTAACGTGTGTCCTTGGGCTTTCAACATGCTGGGTACCCCGTGTGAGCTAGCTGATGTACGCACACAGAGGGAGCATGACTACAGCATGATGGGAGGAGGAAGTCTGGGTCAGGGTAAGAGCAGGCCAGGCATACCTGCTGTGTCTGCTCTTCTAAGTGAAGGACGAGGCCACCTACTCAGAACAGGAATGTTTTTGTTGTTGTTCTTTTGAGACAGGGTTTCTCTGTATTGCTTTGGAGGCTGTCCTGGAACTCACTCTGTAGACCAGGCTGGCCTTGAACTCACAGAGATCCATCAGCCTCTGCCTCCCGAGTGCTGGGATTAAAGGCGTGCGCCACCAACGCCCGGCCTTAGTTTTAGTTTTACTTATATGCATGCACACACTGAGTGCAGGAGGCCAGAGGCAGCAGATTCCCCCGGAGCTGGAGTCACACAGGGGCGTGAGCTGCCTGATGTGGGGGCTCTTAGCCACTGAGCCACCTCTCCAGCCACCTCCTTTCTCATCTTGAATCTGAGCAAGCGAACAGGGGTAGAAGCATCAGCTCCTCCAGAACTGGAAGGAGCCTCCATGTTGGTCTCACTCCGCACCAGAGAGGCTGGAGCGGGACACTCATCAGTTCAAAGCCAATTTGTGCTACTGTCAAACAAAACAACCAAAAAATGGGTGTGGTGGCTCACTCCTGCAATCCCAGTGCTTAGGAGCTGAGACAGAAAGAGCATCATTGAGTGTTTAGGGCCAGCCCGGCTACAGAAGGGAAGACCTATATCAGAATAAAACCATCACCACCACCACTACCAGGGGAAAAAGAAAAAGAAAAAGAAAAAGAAAAAAAAATACAGGGGCCAGGTTGTAGCTCAAAAGTAGAGTGCTTGCTTAGCATGTGCAAGGACCCTGGGTTCTATCCCCAGTACTACTAAAAAATAAAATGGAAATAAAGAGAAAAGAAGAAGAAAAACAAAGAAGGGTTTCCCCATTTCCAAAGGCTTTATTGGTAAGAAAGCTAGATCCTTTTACTTTATTGGAATGAGGGGCCATGCCCAGGGGCACATCCTGGGTACCAAAGGGGACTACCACTTTGCCTGCCTTTCTTTCATTGGCCCGTCAGGCACAGATTTATAGTCAACAAAGGCTTTTGATTTAAACCACAGACTGACTTTTTTTTCTCCCCCAGAATCACTGAGTTGAATGCTATCCCTGCCAACTCTCATGCAGATGTCTCCCAACGATGCCTGGCTTGGGTTCTGCTGGATCAGCTTCCCCGAGTCTGGCTCACGCAGTGTTCATCGCAGTCGGTTCCTTCCAGACCAGCAGAGACCTAAGTCTTGAGTTCACACACACCTCAGGGTGAATGGATGCTCAGATCAGTGTACCTCTACCCGGGTGTGTCTCTGAGGCCTGGAGACTTCAGGAGGAGAGTCAGAACCCTTATTGCTTGAAGGACTGGATGACCTTGGCCATGCCTTGCTCTCCTGTTTTTCCAGACTCCTTATCCAATTGCTGGGATTCTAGGTATGTGCCATCATGCCTAGGTTGGAAATTACTTTAATATATTTAACTTAATATGCCCAAAATTTCTCTCTACTTCCAATATCGAAATTACTGAAAAGATATTTTACGTTTCCTCCTATAGTTGTTCTATGACATCTGACGTGTTTCACACTCCCAACTTGGACCAGGCACATTCCATGTACTCAAGTACCACATGTAGAAATCCATTGTGGACGACATAATGTAAGAGAAAAAAAAAAGCCTCTATTCTCTGTGAGTTCGAGTGCCTCCTTGTATTAACCTCGGCTTATTAACATATGATGTCCAGAGAAAGGAGCAAATCATGAAGGAATTGTTTTAGAATTTCAGCTTAAGTTTTTCTGTCTGCCAATGACCTGTTTAAGCCAGGAAATATGTAGATTGGACTTAATGCCTCCTCTTTGGTGAGTTTCCAGTGTTATGTTGTAACAGTTACCTCCCCTGTTGCTGGGTAGAATGCCTGACTTCAGAACATAAGGGAAGGGATATTTATTCAGGTCCTGCCTAGTTCAGGGCCAACAGTCCATCTTCCTGGGTGAAGCATAGCAGCGGAAGCAGCTTGGTCCTCGGAGCTTGAAGCTGAGTGTTTTAGATAGTGCCCACCCAGAATCAGGGAAAGGACCGGAAGTAGGGCATGACTGGATCTTCCAGGCCTGCCCCTAACATCCTCCATACATCAACTAGGTCCTGCATCCCGGTGGTTCCACAGCCTTCCAAAACACACGAACCTGTGGGGCACATTCTGAATCTAGCCACAACATGCATCAGAGTTCTCATCACAGACGATGATATCTGTACAACCGATTTCATTTATCTAATACTTATTTACTCATTTATTTGATCCATGGGACCTTACTATGTAACTATGGCTGTCCTGGAACTCGCTCTGTAGACCAGCCCGGCCTCGAACTCACAGAGATCCGCCTGCCTCTGCCTCCCGAGTGCTGGGGTTAAAGGCGTGCGCCACCACGCCTGTTAGTTTTCTTTTAAATGTGCAGTGTGACCAGCCATCATTCCTTCCCCACCCTGATGGACTGACTGTATCCCTTCAGTGAAAGGCAGAATAAACCTGTCCTCTCTTAGTCATTGCTTGGCCAGCTTTTTTGACACAGCAGGGAGACAAGAACCTCATACAACCCTTTGAAGAGGAGGAGTGAGATCTGTAGTTACCCGCTTCTCCGGAAAGACACCCTTTGCGGTTTTCCATCTTTTCAGAATTAATTAGCCAAGGAATTAGCTTCCAGGAGAAACCAGAACCTCTCCCCCGCTCCCACATACCCTGAGCTTTTTCCCACTGTCTGCATTTCTGTGTGTGTGTGTGTGTGTGTGTGTGTGTGTGTGTGTGTGACAAACTTGATAGATTCTCTGCGAATCTAACAGCCCATAAGAGGACTCAGTGCAGATGGTAGGGGACCCTGGGACATCCTAAATGGCAGATGGCAACACTGGCTGGAAGGCTATAGGGGAAGAGCTGTTTCTTGGAGTTGAAGTTCTCCACCTTGGCAAGCAAGTCAAGGTGGGAGGGGAGGGGTTGCCAGGATATTCTCAGCCTTTTAAAAAGCCAAAGGGGAAGCTTCCAGATCTTCAGCTGAGACTGCACCAAAGTCCCAGGTCCTTCACTTGGAACCAATTCTGATAACAATAAATTGTCAACTCGTGGGCAAGTGGCTGACACCCACACTGTTTTTTATTTCTTGGTCATGGATGGCCAAACTGATACAGAAGTCTTCACAGTCGGTGCCAGCTGCTGGCGGCCCTAGTACCCTAAGCTCATCAGCCACCTCAGTGCACCAGTTTAAAGTAAAATAAATAGTAAACGGCAGAGGGCACATTAAGAAGAGGAATGAATAAAGAGGTCCAGTGGTTCCCCCAAGTCCATCTTTGGGGTCCTGACATGAGGTTTATGTTTAATTAAAGGGCAGGAGATAGGCATTACTGAGCACCTGGTAAGGTGTGGTCCCTGTTACCAAAACTGGAGTCACAGTCTATACCTCAAGCATGCAAGTTCAGCCAGCTGACCCTGAGAGTAAGTTAAAGGAACAGTAAAAAGCATTAAAAAGGGATTAACTCAAATCTGCCCTATTGGGAAGAGGCATAAAGAGATTCAATAATGTGGGCGTTGGTTGTGCACGCCTTTAGTCCCAGCACCCGGGAGGCAGAGGCAGGTGGATCTCTGTGAGTTCGAAAGCAGCCTAGTCTACGGAGCGAGTTCCAGGACAGCCTCCAAAGCCACAGAGAAACCCTGTCTCGAAAAACCAAAAAAAAAAAAAAATCCAATAAACCTCCCCAACTCCCAATTCACCTTTGGGGTCCTGAAGTGGGATTAAAATTTTACCATTTTAAAAATTCTTTTCTTTTTGCTGGGTGGTGGTGGTGCATGCCTTTAATCCCAGCACTCGGGAGGCAGAGGCAGGCAGATCTCTGTGAGTTCGAGGCCAGGCTGGACCAACAGCCTCCAAAACAATACAGAGAAACCCTGTCTCGTAAATACAAAAAAAAAAAATTCTTTTCTTTTTGATATAGTTGCACCGCTTGCTCCTCCTTTTTCTTGCTCCTTGCTCTCTGTCAAACTCATGGCCTCTTTTTTCACTAAGTGTTGTCACATATGTGTATGTGTAAATGCATAAGTAAAGTCTGCTCAGTCTGTAGGATGCTGCTTGTCTGTCTGTGTGTGTTCAGGCCTGGCCATTTGTTATTGGGTAGCCAGTTGCTGTGCTCCTCCTTGGGGAGGACCATCTCCCCACCCTCTGCCTCCCTTAGCTGTCTGCAGTTCTCTGTGTAAGGTTGAGGGCTCGAGGGCCGGGTTTTTATCTATTTATTTACTTAATTTTGCTTTTGAGACAGGGCCTCACTATGCAGCCCTGAGCCATCTAGAACCGTCTATGTAGACAGCCTCAGACTGTCAGAAATCCACCTGCTTCTGCCCCCAGAGTGCGGGGATCCCTGGGGTTAAAAGCACATGGGCTACCTTGCTGATGGAGATTAAAGATTAAATAGAGGGCTAGGGTACATCTAAGCAGTCCCACCAACCACTGACCCATCTTGTCCTAGCCTCACTCTTAGCCTGTGAGATGTCTGACAAGTTGTAAATCCCTTTCCGGAGGCAGGCAGATCACCATGAGTTCCAGGCCAGGATGGTCTGCAAAGCAAGTTTCAGGACAGCCAGGGCTACACAGAGAAACCCTGTCTCAAAAAAAAAAAAAAAAAAACCAAACAAACAAATAAAAAAACCAGCGAACCAACAAACCAACCGACGAACCAAGCAACCAAAGAATGTCTTCACTTGTGTCCAGGCTGTTACACTGCTCGCCACTGACTGTCACACCACTGCCACAGCTCCAGTCTCTCCTGCAAGGGTCTGACAAGTGGTCAGAACCCTCGAGACCTCTCAGGAGCCCGGCTCCTCCTCTGATGTCACAGCACCAGGCATTTTCCTTTGCCCAGCACAAGCTTCTGGGGGAAGTTTCTATAGGTCCATTGTTTTGACAGCCCGGCAGTGGTGGGGGAATGTCTTTACAATGCCTCCACTCCTGTTGGGATGCTCACAGAAGCAGGTCCAGGAAAACAGACGGCAAATTGATTGGCAGGGAGCGGGGAATCCCAACCGTTTTCTGGGACGCTCTCGATGAAGGCAAAGCTGGTACAGCCCACATGGCCGTCACCCACCACCCCAATTAAAGAACAGCCCCGCCCCCAGCCTCCCACCCTGCCTTCCTTTGGTCCTGTCTGCTTTCAGCTGTCTCCCGTGACCGAACAGAGCCAGCGGTCTTGGCCTGTGTCTGAGGCACAGTGACCATAAGTGAAAAGTCCTGCCTTCCTTTGCCCAAAGACCCAGAGCACAGCGCTGTCACTCACAGAAAAATAACAACACTTGCTTGCTGTGCTGTCTCAGAGCTTAAAGCCTCGGCAGCTGGGCCAGGAGCCTGGGTGTCACAGGAGAGAGATGTTCTCTACCTCCAGGATACTGCTGCTGGTTTATGGTCCTGTGTCTCAGATAGCTGCCCCCAGGGAGGCTTGTATGGAGCAAGGAAGAGCAGGGCTTGTAGCCCTTCAGATGTCAAAGGAGGTGAAAACAGGCCTGGAGAGAAGGCTCAGTGACTGAGAGCACTGGCTGCTCTCCTGAAGGGCCTGGGTTTGGTTTCTAGCATCCGCACAGAACTCACTCTATTGCCAGGGCATCCAGCATCGCCTTCTGACCTCCACGGTACCGGTAGTGCATGCACGAGGTGCACAGACAGGCCTGCAGGCAAAACATCCATGCACACACACAATAAAAATCTTTCAAAAGGAGGTGGGTGGGGGTGGGGCCTGGTAGGGGAGAGAGCCTGGTGTGTCAGCTGCTTCTCTCACTGAGGCTGCCACGCCCATGGCAGGAAGGGTTGTTGGGGCTTATGGTTTGAGGGGATGATTCGGTACACACAGCAGACCCTGGTGGGAGGCGTGGTGGCAGAGGTGTAAAGTGACTGGTCACAGTGCATTTACACCCAGGAAGCAGAAACCACACAGGAGGCGGGGCTGGGCTACAGAGCCTCAAGCTCCACTCCCCAGCAACCCACTTCCTCCAACAAGGCTCCAAGGGGTCAAACCCTTCCACATCCCCCATACCACCTGGGGACCAACTATTCAAACACATGAGCGACATTTCACATGCAGCAACATCTGGCCCCAGCCATGGCCGTAAACATGCCTGGCTCAGGTCATTCAGTCCGGCTGGGAGTTGGGCTTCCAGAAGGACACTAGCACGTTTGGGGAAGAACGTGTGACTGGGCGGGACTGGCGATCTAACCGCTTCAGAGAAGCGGTTCTGTTTCTTCATTGTTGCCCCGGGACCCGCTCTCACCCCAAAAAGGGCAAGAGAGGGCTTATTCTTGAGCCACATGTGCACAGCGTGGTGAGGGACACACATTCTCACTGCCCCTGACACGTTCCACTGCTCAGCAGTTATAGAGCGAAAGCAACCCGGGCATTGGTGTAGTCACCAATTACATCGGTTGGGGCCACAAACGAGTAGGTGGTAGCAAAGTGACGCAGGCGGGGTCAATCCAGATGCTTCCTGGTCATTTTCTTAGCTTCGGGGTTGGTGGAAGTTGGTGGTCTACTAAGAGAACATTGCAAAGATTTCACCGTATAGTCAAGCGCCAGGCCACACACCAGGGTAGCCAAGGAACTGACAGGGCCAGAGACAGCCCTAGATAAGTGGACGTTGGACCTGTGACGTCTTAACCCTTCATGGTCCTGAACCTCCAGGCGGCCATCCAGCTTTACCCCTCCCCTGGGAACTTCAGTTTACTCTCTCTAGGTGGTGATGGGGTCGGCTTTTCATGCCAAGGGAAACAGGTTCGGCTTTTCAAATGGCAGAACGAGGCACAAGACCTTGTGAATACAAGCACGGGGTCTAAACCAGTGTGGTGTGTTTAAAATTGAACCAGAAACATCACAGCCTTCTCCAGAGGCCACTCAAGGCAATACCGATTTTCCCAGCAAGGTCTCAGTGGAGAAAGTGTTCTAGCCTCTGGCTCCTCTTCTGTCTACCGAGCACAGGCTAGCCCCTATTCCTCCACACCCCTGAGCACAGGTCAGCTCCTATTCCTTCAGTCCTGTCGAGAATGTTTCCCTCCTGGCCCCTGATTTTCCAAGTCCAGGTGACTCTGCGCTGTAAGGAAAGCCAGCTAAGCCTGTTCCTATGAGCAAGCCAGCAACAAGGGCTTGTCCACGCTTTTTGCCTCCAGGCTCCTGCTCTGACGTCCCTCGGGGATGGACCACAACCTAGACGAGTAAGTTAGACAGATCCTTTCTTCTCCTAAGCTGCTTCCGGCCAGAGTGTTTTATCACAAGCAGCAACAAAACAGTTCTAGTTTAAAGGATCTAGAAGGTGTGGCTCAGTAGAAGACTGCTTACCTAGCACACTCAAGTCGTTGGTTTTAGTCCCTAGCTGTGTGTGTATCTGGTGTTTGTGTGTGTATCTATCTGTTTGTGTGTGTGTGTCTGTGTGTGTGTGTGTGTGTGAGTTTGTAAGTGGTCTCTGTGTCTGTGTGTGAGCATGTGTGTGTGCCTGTGTGTGTGTCTCTGTATGTCTGTGTATGTGTTTGTGTCTCTTTGTATGTCTGTGTGTACCTGTATTTGTGTATGTCTGTGTATATGTGTATCTCTGTCTGTGTATGTGTCTGTGTTTGTGCGTGGTGCATTGTGTGAAACTTGGGACAAACTGAACTAACAGAAGCTACAGAGGCTGCTGCCCACCTGGAAGAGTGCCTGCCTAACATGCACAAGGCCCTGGGTTCGGTCACTAGCACTATATTAAATGGGGGGGGGTGCAGCCCTCAGGAGTCAGAAGCAGGAGAGACAGAAGTTCGAGGTCATCCTCAGTCATATACTGAGTTTGAGGTCATTCTAGCTTACGAGAGATTCTATCTCAAAACAAGAACACACAAATATGACCTTAACCAACTAGGAATTTATTTTTCCTTCTTCTCAAGAAGCTAGGAGATGGTGGCCTAGTGCAGATAAAATATCTCATGGACCGCCAGGCTCCCGAGTTCCTTCACTCTGGTACCTGCCTCTTCAGGACACAGCCTTCCACAGTTAACACGTTCCAGATGGTAGCAGGAAGGGAAGGCCTTAGGCGGGGTCACGGAAGGTATGCTAGCTACCGTGTGAAGAAAGCTCCAGGGGTGGCCCTCATCTCACGTGTCATTCACTAGAACAAAGCCACTGGCCTCCTCAGGGTACAAGCAGGGCTGGGAAACAGTCTCTGTCCCAGCCAGCCACATGCCCAAAAGCAGGTCGCTGTCACCTCAGAAGAAGGGGAAGATGGACATCAGAGGACACAGACAAGACTTCCAGCAGAGATCTAGTTTGTGTTTGGATGTTTCTTTGAGATAGGATCTGGCTACACAGACCAAGCTAACCTCAGCTCCCACTTCTATCTCCTGTCACACACAATGAGCCGCAGCATTTGTCATCAGGGAACCGAAGACAGGTCACACTGGAGGAGGCCCTGGCGCTGACCTAATGTGGTGGCCACGTTGTGTCAGGCGCGTGGATTGACATGTTTGTGTCTTCTCAAAATGCCACAAATGATTGAATAACAATAACCCCACAACAGATTCACAGTCTATGTCAATTCCACCCAGTATTACTAGTTTCCATGGGTATTTATGACTGTTGTCACTCATGGGTTCATTTCATTCCAATCTTTAAGAAAATGTTACCGCACTTATTTATTTGTGGGTATGTATGTGGGCATACGTGTCACGGTACATGTGTGGTGTCAGAAGACAAACCTGTACATGTGTGGTGTCTGAAGACAAACCTGTAGGAGCCCATTCTCTGCCCCCACCATGTGGGTTCTGGGAAAACAGTTCAGGTTGCCAGGCTTGGCAGCAAGTGCCTTCACCTGCTGAGCTATCTGGCAAACTTTCACTCTAATATTCTTCTTTTCTTCAGCTGTTTGAGACAGGGCTTCTCTGTGTAGCCCTGGCTGTCCTGGAACTCGCTCTGTATACCAGGCTGACCTCCAACTCAGAGATCCGCCTGCCTCTGCCTCCCGAGTGCTGGGATTAAAGGTGAGAGCCACCACCACCTCCTAGCTTTGACTCCATCATCTTTATTACGAGTGTTAGCTTCAGACCTCTCGTTATACTTCACAATGACACGTTTTAGAAAGGCCATGAGTGGGTTACAGAGGCTGCAGGGCTGAAAGAAACTGTCCTGAAGTTTCTTTCCTTGTGTCTTGACCTGACACAGATGCAAGGAAAATTCTCTGGTGCGGACCGGGAGAAATAATTTACGAAGCACAGACACAAACTGTTCTTGCCCTCATGGAGCCCAGGTGGAGAGCAGGACACCTGTCCCTGTGTAATCTCCAGGGGTTGGGAGGGCGAAGGTCCCAGAGAGACTCTCCTGGCTGTTGTGGCTTTTGAGAGCCGGGGACAGTGGAGGGTACGGTGGCCCTCAGCACGTTCCGTTTTCCATTCTCCACACGCCACGCTTTAGGGTAGTAATCACCCAGGCAGCTGCCCCACTCGCTCAGCATCTAGGATGCATTTGCTGAGAAAGTCCCCGGACACAGTGCAGTGACATCAGTCACCAGTCTCTGAGGAAGCGTTTCTTAAATAAAGGGGAGATTGAAAAGGGAAGGTCAATGAGGATGGCGGCGAGCCACTCTGCACTGCCCATTTTTCCCTCAACTCAAGTGGGTTTTGATTTGCTCCAAGCTAGAGCAGAAGTTAATTGAAGGCCATTTTTCTTTCTTTGCAAGGAGCAGTGTTCCGGGGAACAGAACAGTGAGAGCAGAGCAGCCAGCGTTGTCTCTGCATTTGTATAATAGTGGCCTTGGGGATGAATGTGCGACAATTATCCTGCACCCGGAGTCCTTGGGGTGGGGGAAGGACAGACCTGGTATTAGTGGTTAGTGCTGAATCCCAAGTCTGCCTGCCCTGGAGCCTTCGCAGCCAAACATCACTTCAGTTCAGGACCTCCATCTGCCAGTGGGGTCTGCCCTTTCCCAGCGGGAGGCGAAGGGAAGCCTGGGTAACCAACCTCAAGAAAGGAGCACAGCACAGCAGAGAGAGCATTATTTTACATTCACTCCAGAATCCTTCCCCTCGCCACGCAGGCTTTGATCTCTGCCTACCTGCCAGGACCACCGGGTCAGTTCAAGTAGGCTTCGGAAAGCACAGAGAGAGCTCAAGCCCTCCACCAATGTTGGGTAGATGCTACCCTTCAGCCCATGCTCTTCATCACTGCCTACACTTGTAGAGCATTCTCCTGGCCAGAGAGGGCACGGGACAAAGGAACGGCTTAGCCCAGGCACGAGCCAGGGTCACTCTGTTACCTGAGTAGCTAAGTCACGTGTGGAATAAACTTTCGTCCACAGTATTTACTGTCATGGTTACTTTCCCTGTTGCTATGACAAAGGCAACTTCAGGAAGGAGGGGTTTATTTTGGTTCAGAGTTTAGGGTACAGGTTCATCAGAGTGGAGCAAGCCAAGGATACGGGAGTTTTAGAGTGGTTGAGGCTTTCTCCAGGATCGTGTGTGTGTGTGTGTGTGTGTGTGTGTGTGTGTGTGTGTGTGTGTGTGTGTGTTAGGGTTCTCATGCATCCCTGGCTGGCCTCACTATGTAACCAAAGCTGACCTTTCCCCCCATGATCTTCCCAGTGCTGGCATTCCAGGCATGCGCCTCTATTCCTGGTTTTACACAGCACAGAGGCTCGCACCCAGGGGCTTTAGGCATATTCTATGTAATCCTTGGATCCCAGCATAGGGAATGGTGCTGCCCACTGTTAGGGTGGGTCTTCCCACTTCAGTTAACTTAATCAAGAGACTTTTACACGTTTGCTTGGTAGCTGTCTACCAGGTATTCCAGACCCCACCACACTGAGAATCAACACCAACCACCACCTTATCCAGTATTTCCTTATATTCTTAGAGGGCAGAGTTATAGACTCATGTCAGTAGAGAAGGGGAGAGGACATAGTGTTGTCCAGGGATAGAGACAGAGGCCAGCCTGGTCTAAAGAGCAAGCTCTGGGACAGCCAAGGCTACAGAGAAACACTATATCAAAAACAAAACAACAACAAAATAGGGAGTTGGGGGCGGTGGCTGCAGTTCAGCTGATAGAATGATTGCCTAGAATGTAGAAGGCCCTGGATGTGATCCTCGGAAGGGTGGAATCCCAGAGCTCAGAGAGTAACAGGGGTAGAGGTCAGCTATGGCTATATACAGTGAGGCCAAAACCCCTACCACCACCACCACACACACACACACACACACACAACCCCCCACATACATACACACACTCACACACTCATACATATCCACACAATAGACACTCATACATACACACTCACACATACACACACAATATACACATACACTCACATACACATCCACAATACACTAACACATACACATTTACACATACATATACCCACACACACATACACACATACTCATATATACTCACTCACACATACCCACACAATATACACATATACTCACATATACACATTCACAATACACTAACACATACATATTTACACACACATATACCCATACACACATATTCATATACACTCACATACATATACACACACACTCACACACTCATACATATCCATACAGTATACACTCACACATACACACTCACACATACCCACACAATATACACATACACTCACACATACACATTCACAATATACTAACACATACACATTTACACACATATACCCATACACACATACTCATATACACTCACATACATATACACACACACTCACACATACTCACACAATATACACATACACTCACACACACTCACACATACACATTCACAATATACTAACACATACACATTTACACATACATATACCCATACACACATATTCATATACACTCACATATATACACACACATACACAAACATATAGACACTCACATATTCCCTCTGTCTCTCTCTCACACACACATATATGCACACATATACACACATATACATACACCATATGCACTCACATACACACACATATACACACACACCAATATATAGACACTCACATATTCTCTCTCTCTGACACACACACACACACACACACACACAGCCCCATCATCTTGCCATATTTTGTGAAAAGAAGTTCAACCTTCCCTTTCTTCAGTTTCTTTCTTTAAGCTGGCATTTTCCTGAACAAAGTCAACTCCCTTCTGAGCCGAGGTCTCATGATGCCACTCAAGATGATTTACACTATTCTCTTGCCTCGCTGCAAACTTTTTTTTTTTTTTTTGGTTTTTTCGAGACAGGGTTTCTCTGTGGCTTTAGAGGCTGTCCTGGAACTAGCTCTTGTAGACCAGGCTGGCCTCGAACTCACAGAGATCCACCTGCCTCTGCCTCCCGAGTGCTGGGATTAAAGGCGTGCGCCACCAATGCCCGGCCTTCACTGCAAACATTTAAAAATTGAAATTGGGGGGTGGAGAAATGGCTCTGTAGTTAAGAGCTCTTACTGCTCTTCCAGAGGACCCAAGTTCGGCTCCCAGCACTAATACGAGACAGCTCACCATTGCCTGTCCCTCCAGCTCCGGCGACTCTGATACTCTGTTATGATCTCCAAGGCACACGCCATACATTCACACAGACACATACACATACATTTTAATAAGAAGAATAAATCTTTAAAAAAAAACCCTGAAGATTCAGTAATTTCCCCTGCTTGTTTCCTTTAAAAAACAATTGTTTTGATATGGGGCCTCGGGCAGCCTGGTCTTGAATTCTGTGTTCTGAGATGTCAGTGACTCGAGAGGAGAGGTACAGCAGTGACAGGGTTCAGGAAGTCAAGGAGACAGGAAGACGAGCATGGTGGCTCACACTTCTAACTCCAGCGCTTGCTCAGCACAACGCACATGATCACCAGCAGCTCAGTGCCACCCGGGCAGAATGGAAGGAGGATGGAGGGGAGGCCTCGGGCTGGGGTCAGGATGGGAAGTAGGCATAAGGCCCTGGGCGTGGGGGAAGTTGAGGACTATGTGACCACAGAAACATGATTCCCAGGAGAGGGCAGCCTTGGTCCTATTCCAGCCTCCAAGGCTTGCCAGGGGAAGGCAGAAGCACTTGTCTGCTTCCTGAGGGCTAGACTGACTCAGGAAAATCCTCAAGAGCATCCCTAGAAAGCTCCTGGGCTAGTTTTCCCATATTTCTGGGACAAGTTACTGTTACCTTGCTAAACAGTACAGTTTTCCCCTAAAGGCTAGGCATGGTGGCACACATGCCTTTAATGCCAGCACAGGGTAAAGGGTTGGGGGCTGGAGGGTGCAGAGGCAGGTGGATTATCTATCCACCCAGAAAGTTCCAAGATAGCCAGAGGTACAAAATAGAGAGATCCTATTTGGTCTCAAAAAATCAAAGCAAATGCATTCTACAGTCTTGGAGGCCAGAATCCACGGTGCCTCTTGCAAGTCTCAGACTGAGGAGTAAGTATGATGGAGCCTTCTGCAGGCTCTAAGAATAAGCTTCGTCATTCTTCTAGGGGCTAGCAGACCCCCTAAGGACACCTGTGCCATTAAGGTACAGGCGATACCCCAGGATAATCTCCCCATGTCAAGATTCTTGCTTCATCTCTACAAAGACACCTTTTCCTTCTTCATCCCTACAAAGACCTTTTCACTACATAAAGTAAGACATTCACAGGCTCGAGAGACTAGTATGCATCTTCCTTTGGGGGAGGGCATTCACTGGTCTACCACAGATCTCCCTCCGCACCCATCTCTGGCCCTTGGACATCCTTGGGGGTGAGCATATGCAGATGGGGGTCTCCTGCTGCGGCTTTGAGGCCGTGTTATGGTTTGAATCTGCAGTGCATTAAAAAGCACATTAGCTGGCCGTGCTATTGGCGGGGGGTTACCTACCTGGAGGATCCAAGTCACTGGAGATGTGTCTCTGTGGGTATATGTTGCCCTGGACTCCATCTTGTACCCATGCCCTCTCTGCCTCTTGACTATCATGAACAGCTCTGGTCCCCCATGCCCTCCCACTGTGACAGTCAGCTTTACTATAGGCTCAGAAATGCAGCCTCTGCAGACCACAAACTGAAAGCCTGAGCCAGGGTAAACAGTTACCCCCTTATGTTGTTTTCTCAGGCCGGAAGATGCCCAGATAGGTGGCTGTATTTGTTTGTTTGTGGCAGGGTCTTGCTCTGCAGCCCAGGCAGGCCTTGAAATTGAAACTCTCATCCCATCATCTCATAGGGTTTTTTTTTTCCTTAAGCTCCAGGCTTTGGGATCTGGGAACACCACACAGGGCTCAGAGTGCCGATTTGAACACATTGATAACAAACTCAGAGTCACCAGTAATGGGTTAGTGTCACATTAAGGACAGAAATCAATAAAGCACTTCCCCTTGGTGTCATTTGGCCAAGAGTGAGCCCAGATTTTAATTTTCGACTTTGCTCTCCCCGTGTCTTCTGTCACTCCAGACTGTTGTCTGAGACTGAATCTGTGCCGGCCTGAATGCTCCTTTGTGACTCTGTCCCTGTGACTCTGTCTGCATCTAAGCATCTGTCCCAACAAATGACTTGGCATGTGCTCTCTCTGTTTCTCTCTCTCTCTTTGAACAGCACAGGAAGCATCCTATGCAAAAGGAATGAGGGATATTTTATAGAAAGCTACAATAGTTTTACAAGGGATGAAGTCATTGACATCAACTGACCCCAACTGATTCAATTAACAAACAAACAAACACTATCAGGCATTTATGGTGTTTTTTGTTTGTTGTTTGTTTTGTTTTGTTGTTTTGGTTTTTCGAGACAGGGTTTCTCTGTATAAGAGCTCTGGCTGTCCTGGAACTCACTTTGTAGATGATGCTGGCCTCTAACTCACAGAAATCCACCTGCCTCTACCTCCCGCATGCTGGGTGCTTTTAATCTGTATTTCCTGTGTTTAGCAAATGATTAATATACATGAAAACATACATTCGTTACTCTTGGGTCAGGGGCATGGAAGATGTGTTTTCATGGGTATATCTTGCCCACATAACTTACAATTACAGTTATGCATTTAGCTTAAGCTGTAAAAAGATGATCACATGGGAAATCCAAGACAAATAAGATTGATTTTTACATTGTGCTCTTCAAGGAAGGTTAAAGAGCTGAAGAGATGGCTTAGTGGTTAAAAGCACTGAATGCTCTTCCAGAGGACCCAGGTTCAGTTCCCACATGGCAGCTCACACCTGTCTGTAACTCCAAGATCTGACACCTCACTCAGACATACATGCAGGCAAAACACCAATGCACATAAAATAAAATAAAAATAAAAATTTAAAAGGCAGGTTAAACAAACAGACCGAGTACGCTGTAGGATAGCTACCTTAATAATTCACCCAGCTGCGAGGTCCAGCAAAAGTCCCAGTCTTTCAGGAAGTAAGAGATCTTCTTAGCATAACGCATTGCCATTAACTCAACACTAGGTTCATGTTGTCTCACAGACCCTGATTCCATGAACAGAGGCCCCCATCTCTTCCGGACGGGTCAAGTCTC